TTTATTTGGAGGTGTACAGCTGGCTAAGATTCTGGGAGTTGAAGTCTACAGTTCTGTCAAAATGTAAACATCAGGATTTTTTTTAAAAAAAGAACAAATTGCTGTAGCCCTTGCTTCATTTATTTCCTTGAAGAATGAAGATCTTTTATTTTCTGAGTTTGATCCAGTTCTTAAAAGAAAAAAATATTTTCCCTTCCTCTCAGCGATAGCAATAACATTTGACCTTGTCTATTCTCCTCTTTAACAAAATGGTGAGATCCAAAATAAATTACTTCCAAGCATTAGCTTTGCAATGTTTGGAAATCTGTTTTAATTGCATGCAAATTATATAAAGTTAATGTTTTATTCATTAAGTTTGGTAATGGTTAACTCTAGTAATAGGGTGTAAATGAAGTAAAAAGTTAGAAATAAATTAAACAAATCAATAAATAACAACCATAATAACCAAAGAGATAGTTTTAAATTCTCCAACAGTATTTTGGTATTTTGGTGTAAGTTATTTTTTTTTCATCTTGTTCCCTCTTTGAAGTGTCATTAATCTGACTGTGCCTACAAAGGAAGGCAGTTTTACTACCAAAATGGCCCTATATAAAAATTCATCCTATAAGCATCCCTACAGGCAAGGAGAAGTTGTGCTAACCACTCGTGACATATTATATGTTGGCGTCTTTGTGCTGGGAGCAGATTCCACTCACCTCATCCTCACACTGAACAAATGTTATGCAACACCTTCACGAGACATTAATGACAAGCTCAGATACTTCATCATTGAAGAAGGGTGAGCCACAGTTTTTAAGTGCCCAGTGTTCGAAATTCCAGAAAAAAAGCTTGTCAGTTCTTGGCTGCTCTGCTGGAAATAATCAGTGCACTCCTCTTTCTTGCAGTTGTCAGAATATCAAGGATAATACCATTGGAATTGAGGAGAATGGGGTCTCCCTCACCTGCCGTTTTCATGTTACTGTTTTCAAATTCATTGGAGATTATGATGAGGTTCATTTGCACTGTGCAGTCTCGCTTTGTGATTCGGAAAGATACTCATGTAAAATAGTAAGTGGCACACACCTTAGATGCAGTTCACATCAATGTGCTATTTAAGGCTGTTCAAAAAATAGAAATCTGTCTCAGAGCTGATCAAAAAGTTGATTTTTGAAGAATATAATCTAAAATTCATGTACTTCAGATACGACTTTAATGATAGGGACTGGAAAGTTCTGCTTTGTATCTCAAAGAGGTTCTGTTAAATATTTGCACTCTTGATGCATTTTAAGACAAGAGAAAATGGATACTTTAAACCTTGCATAGGATTAAGGTACCTATTTTATCCCTTATACCTTCGGCTGTATTGTCCTTGGTTCTGCCTATTCTTAAAAATTGCTATTGACAGATTATGCAAAGTACAAAGTATGCTCTCAAGCCAACAGAAGTTGTGTATCAAAGCATTTCTATTTTTTTATTTTTGGCTGGATCAGAATTGTCCACAGAATACCCGGAGGGCCAATGATTATTCCAAAGATCTCAATGAGCAAATCATTTCTGTGGGACCAATCAGAAGAAAACGTAAGTGTGGTGTTTCTCCAGGTTTTCATTCAGAAATCAGGATCACTTTTACTGCATGGATGCATGATTAAACAGTGAAAGAATCAATCTTCAATACTTGATTCCCATATAGGTTTCTGGTGTTTTTTTTACTTTGATTTCTGCCTTTTAGGCCTAGACTGGTGTGAAGACAATGGAGGCTGCGAACAGATATGCACAAGCCAGGTGGATGGGCCACTTTGCAGCTGTGTAACTGGAACCTTGCAGGAAGATGGCAAGAACTGTCGAGGTGAATGAACTCTTTGTCAAGGACTGAAAGAAATTTTCTTTAGGTGTTTATATATAGACAGACAGAAACAGCATGTTTCTGACTGAACTTTATATTATTTTTTAAAACATGCAGTTTCAATGTTCATTGTCTCTTCTATTTTTCTTTGCAGCAACCAGCTCTTCAACTGAGGCTCAAGCCAGGCTTTTTCTGCTCCTTGTCAGCCAGCTGTTCTTATGGTGTAGTCTCTCTCAGTCCAGCCCAGCCACATAGTTTATCAAAGTACTGGAATTTTCTATAACCTCCTAGGTCCCTATAAACACATACCACTCTGAATCTGCAATCCACATGACTGTCCAACACCATTTGTAATGCCAGATTTTTTTTGGTTTGTTTCAGCATTGGTGTTATTGGCCTCTTTAAATGGTATTAATGAAGTTGTAAAAATGTTAACAGGACATCACATTCTTCTAAAACTATCAGGAGGAGATCTGCAAGTTGAATATCCAATAGTTGATTGTTATGTCTTCCTCTTCTGAGAGTCCACTTTTGTCTTCCTATTTACAGAAACCTCTGTATAATCTGAATTATTAAATTTTGCAGGAAAACATCTGGGCAGCTTGGCTACTTTCTGAACTTGGGATGGGGAGGGAAAGTAAGAGGCAAAAGTAGCTGTTAGGGTCTGGGATTTGACATCCTGAAGTTTGCTTCTTAAGCCATTCATTGCTGAGTTTAAATCACCCTAGAGCTGTTTCTTTTATTCAGGTTTTAATGAGTTCTGCATATCCAACAGCTGATAGCCAACATTCACTTTATAAGACCAAAAAACCAAAAGATGGAGAAAACCTTTGATGTGCCCTGAAATATGCACCATCTCCGTTACAGTTACACTATAGCCATTCTTGCATTTTTTTTTGCATGAACAAATTTTTACTATTTAAATTTAGGGTAGCCTCTTTCTTCTAGATGTTTATTGACTAATTTTTAAATTAAACATGGGGAACAAGATCTTGTTTCTTGGCAGCCTTCTGTTTTGTGAAGTTTGCTTAGATTTGGGACTTGGGAAAAGACTTGTAGTAAGGTTAGGCACAATGTTTTTCAATAAAAACGATTTGAATATACTCTGCTGTAAAGATTTGGAAACACTATAAGCTACCTATGTTATTGATTGGGGTTTGAACAAGCATCCTTTCTTCCCAGAAAAAAAAATCGGCTTTTTTGGGGGGGGGGGGGGTCTATAGGGGATCAGCAAAGATCTCGCCAAGTCCTATCCACACCAAAATGAGTGCCAACACAATGAAGGTAAAATTTAAGAATTTTGCATAGACAAAACGCAAAGGTAAGAAGCGTCGGAAGCAATGGAAAGAGCTGGTCCCGGTCTCCGTTCTTTCTGTTAAGTTAGCCGCCTTCTCATCTCCAGGAGCCCAAGACGGCTCCCTCTCCTCCCTTTTCCCCTCAGAGAGTATCCCAACCCGACTGAAGGGAAGAACCAGTTCAGGAGGGAAGTTTCTATCCCGCCACGCCGGGATCAGCCCGGGCACAGGCGACCTAAGCCTCCCACTCGCTCGCTTCTGAGGTAAATAACGCAACCTCCCTGCGCCGCCGCTGAAGTAAACGACAACGACGACGCTGTGCCCCTCAGCCCCGCTCCTGCATTCCCGATAGGCTCGCCTCACGCCGCCGGCCGCGCCTTCCAATCCGGGCGTCGCGCGACTCTCGACCGGCGGTCGCTCGTGACGTTTGCAGCCAATTCCTGCGTCTTTTGCCGCCGAAACTCCGCCTCCCCTCCCCGATGATTGGCGCAGGGACCTTCCCGATGTCACCAGAGGCCGGCATGCCCTCTCGGCTTTCGGGGACAGCGGAGCGTGGGGCGCAGTCGACGCTCGCGGTGGCTGCGGAGGATGGTAGCGGAGCGACGGGATCCAGGTGGGGAGAAGCGCAGATGAGCATCCTGCGGTTCCCGGGTTGGTGGGGGGCTCGGTAGTGACTCCCGCTGTGGCACTCCATCTTTCTTACCTTGAGCCCCTCAGGCGCCTGGACTTCATTTCCCGGAATCCCGCAGCCTGTGCGGCGATGGCTGAGGCTCCTGGGAAATGCGGTCTCCGTACCTCGAGCATCCCAGGTGAGGGGAAGGTGGTGGAAGGCGACCTTCAAAGACGGTTTGCCCTCGTCCTCCTTCTTCCTCCCCCCCCCCCCAGGCCAGGATTATTTTACAGCAGGGGTCTTCAAACGTGGCCCTTTTATGACTTGTGGAATTCCTCAGCCAGGCATGCCGTTTGAGGAATTCTGGGAGTTGAAGTCCACAAGTCATAAAAGGGCCAAGTTTGAAGACACCTGTTTTACAGTGTTGTTATTTCCTGGTGGTCTCCTTTCCAGCTCGGCTTGTTCTCTTTCCAAGCAAAGCTAAGAGGGTTGGGTGGGTAACCACCAGCAACTTTGGGTTATCTGTTATCAGTGTTATTCATAGTACTACCCGTGTTTTCCCGAAAATAATACCGGGTCTTCTTTGTTTGTTTGTTTGCCCTCCAAAAGAGGCACCAGGTCTTATTAGCGGGGGTGTCTTACTCATCTCCTGCACTGACAGCCCAGTCCAGCTGCTCCACTTCTTCTGTGGCCAAAAGAACTGCAACATCCTGCAGCTGCATTCCGGCCTGCATTTTGCAGTCAGGCCTTTCCGGAAGGCCTCTGCAGCCGAGTACCAAGCTCTGGATTCAATCTATGACTGAGAAATGCAGGCCTGGCTGCAGAAGATGTCGCAGAAGAAGCGGGCCAGCGAGGAGAGGCCTGGCTGCCAGGTAAGTGGGTGTCATGCCTCCGTCAGAGCCTGAGTGCTGAGGACAATGAGCTGGAACGGGTCCCTATGGAGGCCTTTCAGGATAGGGACAGGATGAACATGAGAGACAGAGCTCAGGCAATGAACCCTTGCTCAGTGGAGAGAAGGAGGGAACAACGCAGGCAGGCTCAACTATTCGGGAGGAGAGCGCCCTGTCCCTCTCTACAAAACACACCTGGAGACAGACTTAAGGAGATGCTGTGGGGAGGGGCATTATTTTTGTGTGCTGTTGCTGATCTTGTAAACAACTCTCTGATCTCTTGTTCTGTGTTGTGATTTGTGTTTGGAAACCCTGAAACTCTGACCATTGGACTGGCTGACGACCTTGATTTGGTGTTCAAAGACCTCGGATTGAATTTTGGCTTCTCTTCTGAAACTGCTCAGGCAAGCTTGTATTTCCACAGACTTGTTAGTTTTGGATGTACCGGTACATTTCATTCCTAGTTTTTTTAATGTTTTATTGATTTTCTAATTTTACATTTAAGTATTTAAAAAGCAACATGGCTGAGTTAATTGATAATTCAATGATATACAAGTATCTTTAGTACAAGTCTCAAACTACCACATTAAATATTTCCTCTCTTTTCCCCTTAGTATTTACTGTCCCATGTTTAAACTAATACAATTCTTATTATATCAATTAAATAAAAATAACAAATCGTCTCTCTATTTTTCCACCTCGACGTAGTTCTCCTGAAATGTTTATCTTCCCTTCAGTCTGTTCTTCTTGATCCTCAGATTTCTTCTGGTTTATATAGAAAGTCTTTTCCTTTTTTTTTTTTTCAGGAAAAGTTTATTGATTTTCTAGTTTTATATTTAAATATTTGAAAAGCAACGTGGCGGCTGAGTTGGTCCATAATTCAGTAACATACAAATATCTTTAGTACAGATCAGAAACTATTACATTAAATATTTCCTCTCTTTTCTCCTTGGTATTTACTGTCTCACATTTAAATTAATACAAATCTTATTATATCAATTTAATAAAATAATTTTCTTACATTTGTCAATAATTTTTAATTTATACATATCTTAGTTATTTTAACATTCAATCTTTTTAGACAATCAATGTCCTGGTTATTTTTTCTCAAGTTTTAGTTTCCCATTAATATTTAAATTTAATGTTTAATATTTATAATTTCCAAGTTTTAAGTAATCCCAATTCCCTTTATCACAATTCATCACAAGATCTAATGTTCAGGATACACGTCTTATCTATTTGAATTCTCACCATCTTACATCAACTGATTAATAATATAATATTCCTATTTTCTAGTAATTTCCAAATATCTTAAATTTAATAACCAAAATTTCTCTTATTTCAACATTTAATACTTCCTCTCTTTTTTCTCTTAATATCTACTATCTCATATTTAAGCTAGTAATTTTTATTATTACCACTAAGTAAAAACATATTTATTACATTATCTATAGATTTTTAGTTTATATATATCTTAATTACCTTTACATTTAACCTTTATAAGCAAATCAATATTCAAATTTAACTGTTAGTTTATACTTCCAAGTTTTAAATAACCAAAGTTTCCTTTAACTCAACTCATAATATCTAGTATTCAAAGTACACATCTTATCTGTTTGAGAATATTCTGTTTTAATGCTCACTAATAAGTCAAAACCCCAATTTTCTTCAGTCTTATTCTAGCTTGCTTTCTTTGCCAAATCATCTTCCATGTCCGTGCTTTTGAGTCATCAAATAAATCTCCCAGTGTTGTTATGTAAATTGTTTGACGTAGACAAAACCATCCGATCGCCATTTTTTTGAGAGGACTAACAAATGGTCTCTCTATTTTTCCATCTTGATGTAGCTGTCTTAAACTGTTTATCTTCTCTTTAGTCTGTTGTTCTTCTTGATACTCAGATTTCCTCTGATTTATGTAGGAAGTCTTTTCCCTTTTTCATGTTGTCAGTCCCTTTTCTGGGTCTTCCATTGACTGTATTTGTTGATCAGTTGAGTCTTCTGTCCAGGCATTCCATCAGCCGAGGACCCGGGGTAGGGGCGGGGGGGTAGCGGTCATTATAAGGGAGAGCCTGTGTCCAAGGGAGGCCACTGTGCCTCAGATAGACGGTGCAGAGTCCCTCCTTGTGAAGTGGGGGCATGGGGTGCAAGTGGGCCTGTTGATAATATACCTGGCCCCCTGCTATGTGTCAACGGCCCTGCCNGCTAAGCAAAGCTATTAGCTGCTTGTAGATGTTTGATTTCATCTTTGTGGAATGAATCAATAGAGAAAGAGAACTGACAGGAATTTGCCAAATGGAATTTGGTGATGGTAGTGTTGGTGGTAGGGTTTCAAGGGAGCCTTTCTCCACAGCTGAACCGAAGTGATATCCATCCATATTTGGGTCAGCAGAAAACTACAGTGGACCCAAAATTGCTGCTTTCATTGCCAATCCCTGTCCTTCCTTGATTGCTTCTGTTTTAAGTCACTATAGTCAACCAACTTCCTTCCAAGGTAATGAGCGGTAAAGTTTAATGGACTTTATATACAGTGAGGCTACACCTGGTCAATGTCAGAATGAGGGGACAATCTTTCTTCATGAACAATTTAAACTTACCTCAATCTTGAGCTGGAGACAAGATGGAAGCAATGTCAAGGACGCTTGGCAGAAAGACATTGGCAGGCATATTTTGTTAGGTGCAAGCTTTAAGTAAGAATTTGTGCTTAACTAACCTGAGAGGATGAAAAAAGGAATGCTCTAAAAGAAGCAGGAGGATTGCGGCAGTGAGGCTCATTAACAATACTCAGTGAAATATGGAATATTAGCCCCTCAAGTTCTATAATACTTTTTATAATAAAGTATAAATGAAGTTATACATTTATTTCTGTATACTTTGCTCAGAGCATGAGGAATTAGGACTAGGGGTAATATGATAGCAATGTTCCAATATTTGAGGGGCTGCCACAATGAAGAGGAGGTCAATCTATTCTCCAAAGCACCAGAAGGCAGGATGACAAGCAATAGATGGAAACTAATCAAGGAGAAAACTAACCTAGAACTAGGAAAAATTTCCTGACAGTGAGAATAATTAATTGGTGAAATGACTTGCCTCCAGAAATTATGAGTGCTCCAACACTGGAAGGTTTTAAGAAGCGATTGGACAATCATTTGTCTGAATTGGTATAGGATTTCCTGGTTAAGCAAGGAATTGAACTAGAAGACTTTCAAGATCCCTTCCAACTCTATTATTCTGTTAATAAGCAAGATGAGCTTAAACATGAAGACAAGAAAGCAAATATGATTTTGTAGGTACAGTATCTCATCATATCTTTGTTTACCATTTGAATATCCATATTTTTTTCCGCATACCAGTTTGATTCATGTGATCACCAAGACATAAGCATCTATGAAGTCAAGAAACAACAAGAGATGATGTAGACATGCACCTGTTTTCACAAAGGTTCTTGTGAAATCAAACCATCTTATATAAATTTATTTTTCTTAGTTTGTATTATGAACTGCTGTATCTGCTGTTGTGCTTATGTCTATTTTTCTGTACACATTGATTGGTCCTTGAAAGTTAGAAATGATTTTATAAATATGTATTAAGTGACAATCATTAATTAAATATTAACTTATTCATTAGAAGAGTCCCCAATCATATGCTTTAAAGCTAAGAACGATGTATTGTTACGTGTTCTAAGTCTATGATGACTCTGGAAGAAAAAAATAAAGTTGCATGAAACACTAAATAACAATACTGTTGATTGTTTGGGGTAAACAAATCTGCAATTTGTACAATTAAGAAGAATTAGTGAAAAATGATGTCGCTTAAGGTATCATCCATGAGGAACACAGCCAGAAGCCACTTCCAACTTTTTGTAGCCACTACATAAAGCAGATTTGATATATGCTAAGAGCAATCATTTGATGATAAGAGAAGGAACTCAGAATGAATAGAAAGGAAAAGGAGCAATTAAATTTGAATGCTGCAATGATGTCGCATGGTGCATATCAGATAAAATCCCAAGAAATAGGAAAAAATGGCAGGTGTCATCTAGAGTGCTACAGCAGAGTTGAGAAGAAAAGTCCTGCCAAGATTTACAGCTGCAACTATTCAAAGGACTGTTACATAGTGCAGGAATGTTCCTTTAGAAGGAGTGAATAAAGATCTAAGAAACAAATACATTATTAGGTATTTTAGTTAGTGTTCTGTTATTGTGACAGAGCCAGATGCTTCCCATGCATCTGATTCAGAGGACTACCAGCCAGTGGCCAAAGCAGTAACTTAGGAAGATAAAGGAAGTTAAATGTCTATGGAGATTCTCAGTTATCCAGCTCATAGTTATCCCAAAGATGCTTTTTCACGAGGCAACTGGACTTTCTTGTTTTTCTTTGAAGATGTTTCGCTTCTCATCCAAGAATCTTCTTCAGCTGAAGAAGCTTCTTGGATGAGAAGCGAAACGTCTTCAAAGAAAAACAAGGAAGTCCAGTTGCCTCGTGAAAAAGGGAGCTTTGGGTTAAAGGAAGTTAAGATCAGGGGAGGAAAAAGAAAGCCAGGTTCTGGATGACAGATTGACACTGATGGTACTGTTGAAAGAAAAGTCTTCATCCTGGTTCATCCAAGCCGGGGATAAATAAACAACATGGCGACTGCTTTAGAAAGAAGGTTGCAGTTTATTGAAGAGCCAGAAAGATGGTTCTTGCAGGAAAGAGGAGAGAAAAAGAAGGCTGAGCACATGTGGGAAGTAGGTTTTTATACCCACTGAAGCCTTTTGTTTGGAGTAGTTTCCTGTTCCTGTTTTAGGCTTTGTATTTCCTGTGTCATGCATTCTGACCTGAGTTTGGGTGTGCCTTTCTGGTATTCTGATGGTGATGGGTTAGTCCTATTATGTCCAAAGGTCATATCCTGCTTCCCTGGGGCTGATGACTCTTAAAGTTTGGGTGGGGTATGCAGATTTTAGGTGTCTTTGTCTTCTTAAGCTTCTAGCTCCAACTTTCCTGATGGTTTACATCTGCATTTGTACAGAGCTGGCTTCTGCTTGGGACAGAGAGACTTGGGGCTATCAATGAAAACTGGGCATGCTTTTCTGTCTCTTTAAGATCCTTGGAGGAAATATAAGAAGCCCTGGATCCAGATGTGTTGGCAAATTATCGTCCAGTCTCCAACCTACGCTTTGTGGCGAAGGTTGTTGAGAGTGTGGTTGCACGGCAGTTTCCCCGGCACCTGGAGGAAACGGTCTATCTAGACCCTCTCCAGTCGGGCTTCAGGCCGGGGTACAGCACGGAAACGGCATTGGTCACATTGGTAAATGATCTCTGGAGGGCCCGGGACAGGGGTTGTTCCTCTGTCCTTGTTCTTTTGGACCTCTCAGCGGCTTTTGATACTGTGGACCACAGTATCATGCTGCGGCGGTTGGGTGGGTTGGGAGTGGGGGGCACCGTGATGCGGTGGTTCTCCTCCTTCCTCACCGACCGTACGCAGTCTGTATTGGCAGGTGGAC